TTGGAGTTTTCTGAAGGTAAAAAAGTAGTAAGTAAAATACACCTTTTCAAAGTATCCTAGAGGTAAGTTCATTTAGTTTAAGAGCGCAGTGCATTAAATATAATTTTGTTCCTTGGTGAAGTTATCTTTTTAAATTTTTATTTTATTAGTGAGAGGGAACATAATACAGTGGCTAACTCCAGGCTCAGACTCAGGAAGCCTTGGGTTCAAATCCACCCTCAGACACACTCTGGCTGTATCATCCTTATCTCACACTTTATTCAAAAACTCGAGGATGTTTGCCAAGATCTTCCCCCCTTTTCCCTCCTCCTGGTCTTGCATCACTCAGATATCTTATCCTCCTCTCTCCTCCTTCACTGTGGTCTTGGATAAAGAGGGGCCCCTTCTCTTGGCCCCAGCCAGCCCCTCTAAGCCCTCCTGCCTTCTCCAGCCTGACACTCATTACCAGCCCTGCTCTCTTCAGCCTTGCCCTGTCTGCTGGCTCCTTCCTTACTGCCTGAGAGCCTGCCCATTCCCATGTTTACCTCCATCCTGTTCTCTCTTCCCCTTCTCAGTGCAGCTCCTCGAAAAAGCCTTTTAAATCTGGTATGTCTGCTTCCTCTCTCCTCTCTTCAGAATCCTTTGCAATCTGCTGGAGGGGGTGGGGGTTGGGGGGGAGGGTGGGACAGGGTGGAATGGACTTTGGATACATGTACAGTTTAATTTCCATAACAAATTGTTTTTAACCAGATCACATCTTGTAAGCTGTACATAGAAAAACCCAGGGGTAAAAAGAACTGTTCGTTGTGGAAGGCCTTAAATTACATTATTGCACTAGAAAATCCAGGAGGTGGAAAGCTAATGCAATCTTAGATTCAAATCTGTAGCTGCCAGACCCAGCATTTGTCAGTCACCTTAGAAAACAGTTCAGGTAAATTTGCCATGGAAACCCTTAGGTCGTGCTTGCTACAGAGAGGTAGGAGGATGTTCTCACGGTTAATCTGTGATTCCTGCTTGCTTTACTGAGCTTGTAGATTGACAATTTCGTTGCCCTCCTTCGGCTTCAGGCTCAGGTTCTTCTTGTGCATTCTTGGGCCACTACAAATGTTTTTGTTTACTCCAGACCCTTTTCCCCATTTGCAATGTGTGCATCTTTACACCGCTTTCAAATGAGCTCTTCACTCAGGACTTGAGCCTTCTGAAAAAGTGCCGAGATTTTCTGGAAGGCTTTCGTGGAGTGAAGGTTGTCCTGAGGGCGCTCGGGAACCGTCCAGAGCAGACCGACCTGGAGTAGTTTCAGATGCCGGGTGGTTCGCTCTGCAGCCAGCTCCTCCTCTGTGCTCGTTCCGCTTTACCAGACTATGCCTCTGACGATCTGCTCTGGGGTGTTGTTTTCTTCCTCTCCTCCCGGACGTACAGAGTCATGTCCTGAAATGGATCGCCACAGGACTTTGTTCTTGAAGTTCTTCCTATAGCTGCTGTGGTTTACTGGCTCCACACATCCTCAGAATTCTTTTAGACCTGCTACGATAAGCCGTTTTGTGAAGTGCTCAACACCGCTTCTCAGAAGGAAGAAGTTCCATCGGTCTGTTGTCTACACTGCGTTTTCAAAGACTGGTAGCTACTGCGTTGATGTCGTTTTCATTTATCCATGATTTAAACAGCTTTACAGAAAAGACTGCTGAGACTCGGTCTTTAACCAAATGCTCATTGTAAAGACTGTTAAGAGTGGATGCGTTAGGGTCCTGCTGGCCCCAAGAACGCAGCCAGCTTGTTCCTCTCAAGACTCTGAAAAACCCTTTAAGACCGGCACCTGATTCACTTGTTGACTATCTGACCAAAGGAAGGCTTTGCCCGTCTCTGGGTCTGGTGCTACAAATACACAGACCTCTGCCTGCAGCGTGTCATCTGCTGAGGCCAGCCCAGCCCCAATCCCTAGAATGTCACAGAGGCTTTCTGCATATCAGTGATAATCAAGTTGTGCCCCAGCAGCGTCAAGAAGTTTTGCTGCTGCTTCCAGAGCTAGTTTCGGTTAAACCTTGAACAATATAGCTCAGAAACTGAGTGAGGTCAGACCTCTCCCTCCCCATCTCCCTCTCTTTGTTGTTCTTTTGCTAGGCGATGGGGATAAGTGACTTGCCCAGGGTCACACAGTTAATAAGTGTCAAGTATCTGAGGCCGGATTTGAACTCAGGTCCTCCTGACTCCAGGGCCGGTGTTCTATCCACTGCACCACCTAGCTGCCCCTTTCCCTAGTTTTGAAATGCTGGCCTGATAGCAGTGTTGGCTTTTGCCGCTTTTGATTAATCATAAAAGACACTTAAGGTGGAGACAAAAGAGCCAGATATTCTGGAGGTGGCAATAATGATGGCAGTGGCTCCTCTGCAACCAGAACTAATTGTAAGAGGAGAGAGGAGGTGCCACCACCCTCCTGCAGTCTGCTTTCTGACCTCATCATTCCACTGAAACTGCCCTCCCAGAGCCAGCCGTGATCTCTTCATTGCCAAATATAGTGGCCTTTTCTTGGTGCTGACCCTCCTGGACCCCTGTGACGCACATGACACTGCTGATCATCCTCTCCAGAAAACTCGCTCCTGCCCAGTTTTGTGACATGACTGTCTCCTTGTTCACTTCCTCCCTGTTCAACCTCTGTGTCGCAGACTATCTTCGAGTACCCCCAAGGCTTTGTCCTGGGCCTGGTTTGCTTCTTCTTCTGTACTTTCTCACTTGGTCATCACTTTCCATGGATTTAGTTACTGTCTCTGTGCAGATGATTTCCAGACCTGTGTATCCATCCCTTGGCTTTCTGCTGAGTTACAGATTGGCATCTCCAATTACCTCTTAGATGTCTAGGACTGGATATCCTGTGGGCATCTCAAACAGATGTCTAAAATAAAGCTCCTTCTCTTTCTGCCCAAACCCTCCCCTCTTCCTCACTTCCCTGTTGTTGTTTAGAGTACCTCTATCCCATCCTCCCAGACCCCAGGGCTTATGATCCCTGTGTCATTCCTGACTCTTCACTCTCATTCACCTCATGTTTTTCCTTCCAACATCTTTCATATATCTCCCTTTCTCTCTGTTCAGTCAGCTGCAACCCTGGATCAGACCTCATCATCTCTGTCCTGTACTATGGCAGTAACATACTGGTTGGTCTCCCTACTCCAGTCCAGCCACCACAGTGACCACCATGTGTATCTGCTCTGTTTCTCTCACCCCTCTGTTAATTACCCCCTCCCACCATGAGCTGTAGCAGCTCTCTGTTCCACCTCATTATTAAAAATAAATGTCTACCACATAAATGCACTGTTAGTGGAGCTGTGAATTGATCTACATGCCAAAGAGATCAAAGGAGACATACATACAAAAATATTTATAACAGCTTTTTTTGTAGTAGCAAAGAACTGGAAACTGAGGAAGGGTAATCCTCAGTTGGAGAATGTATGAACAAATCTTCGTATATGGAGGTAACGGAATACTACTTTGTCATAAGAAATGATAAACGAAATGGTTTTGGGGAAACATGGAAAGATCTGAATGAATGGATCTAGAACAAAATGAGCAGAGCCAGGAGAACAGTGTACGTGGTAGCAACAGCGTTGTAGAGATAAAAAAGCTTTCCTAGAGTTCAGAACTCTCACCAGTGTCACAACCAGCCATGAGTCTGAGAACTGCGAGGTGATGGAGTCGATGCAGAAGGAGACGGGAGGTGACATAGTTTGTTGTCAGTCCTCAGAACCACTCCATCGCCTGTCTCTCCAGTGTGGTTGGATATTACACCCCAGCCCAAACTCTGTGGTTGAGCCAAATTGGCCCTCCTGTCTCCATGCCTTTGCACTGACCATCACCCACACATACACCACATCCCCTTTTTTCCTCTGCCTCAGAGAATCCCTCTCTGCCTTTAAGATGCTGCTCAAGTATCATATTCTTTATACATCTAGCCCAACTTTCCTATTTAGAGAGAATGAATATTCAGGTCACCTGAGTCCAATCTGAAACTCATTCTAATCTGATATCATTAATTGTACATTTGTGTTCTGTCATCCAATGGTATTCCATTCCATCATCTCCTCCCGCTGGGCCCCTAGCCTGAGTCGCTTAAGGCCCTGTGTGGACTTCATCCAGAGGCCAGAGCTCTGGGGAGATTGATCTCAAATAAAGGAATTTCTGAGCTCATGGAAGCAGATGTGGAACAGTTGTGGGTGATGGATGACAGAACGAAGCCTGCGTGTGCACCTCTGCATGTGGCTGTGGTAGGGTAGAGGGGAGAGTGGGGGGGGGGTGAGAAGGTTGAAGAAGGGTTTGAGGGAATGGCAAACATGCTGAAGACCTCCAGTACGAGGAGAAGCGCTGGGGAGGAAAGACTGAGGTGGGAAGGACAGTGTCCACCACCCCCAGAATCTTGATTTCTCCCAGGAGGAAAGGTTACCAAAAGGTTTAAGTGGTAGAGAGACAACCTGGAAGTGAATGTAGGGAGCAGGAAGTCTTCCAAGTGTCCTGTCTCAAGTGGCTAGTGAGTCGAGCGGAAGGGAAAACGGATTCAAAGCTGGAAAGGGCTGCAGTGGGGCCAGGGTGTGCTAGTCTGGGCTTAGCGACTCCTGACAGTGGGGACGGGCTGGAACAATGGCAGTGAAGTGTGGGATCCTAACCCCAGCTGCCTGTCCTCAAGCTAGCTCTCCAGAAGGGCATGATCACAACAAGAAGGACTGAAAAAAGACCTTCCTGTGGCAGCGAGGTGGCTCGGTGGATAGAGCACCAGCCCAAAAATCAGGAGGACCTGAGTTCAAATCCGGTCTCAGACACATGACACTTAACTAGCTGTGTGACTCTGGGCAAGTCACTTAACCCCAATTGCCTCCCCAAAAGAAAAGAAAAGAAAAGAGACCTTCCTATTCCTGCTCCCTTAACATTCTGTCTGATTGAATTGCAATGGAGATTCCTGATCTTCTTTCATGATGCAGGAGTATAGAATTATTTAAACTCATTGTTAAAATGGAGTGTATTTTCTTTGTTTTCTACAGGTCCCTCAACATGGACTTTGAGAACCAAGATAAGGAAAAAGACAGCAACAGTTCATCGGGGTCCTTCAATGGCAATAGCACCAATAATAGTAAGAAATCAAGATTTTAAGCCCTCTCACCTCCCCCTTTCTCCATTTGGTCCTTCTGCCCCAGTTAGTTGTTTTTCAGGTTCACAGGTATGTGATATAGATCAATAGTTTAAAGAGTCAGTGTGGTCTGTATTGCTCTGCTTTCACCTGAGCTACAAAGTACTGAGAAAGTTCTGTTCATTTTTTAACATGTCTAAAAACTGTTTTGCTAAAATAGTTTCCTAAACAGCCTCGTAGTGCTTGAAGTTTGCCATGAGGTGCTAGGCGGTGGGCTTCCTTGTCTGGCCACGCAGCATAGTGAACATGGGAAGAGAGTTCCTCCAATGGTCATCTTCCACATGGTTCCTAAAAGTGCATCGTAGCACTTTCTCTCCTGGTCATTGCTGTTCTAGAGCTTTAAGTTGAAAGAGCTGGCAAAATTCTGCTGGGGAGAGACATGCTCCATTTAAAAGGACTGGAGCAAAATGAGGCCTGCCCAGTGTACCAGGGACACTGGGAGAGGAATTAAGAGATTTCACCTGACGTCATCCACCAGGTGCTCACTGAACACGTTACCCTACTGGACAGGGGAACAGGAGCGTAGAATCTGCCGCTAAGTCTCTTAACCCGTCAGAGCCTCAGGCTGCAGAAGTGATAGAGGGAGTGATGAAATCACAGGTCCAGCACACCAAAAAACAAAAAACCAGCAACTTTTCATTTATATAGAAGCACTTTACATATATCAGTTCATTTGAATTTTACAGTAAGCCAGACATGAGAGGCCTACAGATGTTATACCCATTTTATGGGTGAGGAGACTGAGGCTCAGAGAGGTTACGTGACTTATCCTTCCTCACACAGCTAGCTGGAAATAGGATTTGAACCCAGGTTTTCTTAATTTCAGATCCAGCATGGTCTCTCTTCACTGTGCTAGAGTGAGTACTTAAAACAGCTAGTTTTAAATAAACTAAATAAATAAATGAAAGTAGTTGCATAATAGTGTCCAAACTGCAACCAGAGGGCTCAGCAGGGGTCAGGTCAGTCAGAAAAACCTTTCTAGAGAAGGTGAGTCTTAAAGTGGATTTCAACAAAGAAGAGGAAATGAGAAGCCATTCTAGATGGAAGTGGTACGAACAGAGGCACAGCCAGCCACTGAAATGAGCCAGCATTTATTAAGTGCCTGCTGTGTGCCAAACCCTGCGTCAGGCACTAGGATGCCATTAAAAAGACGACTCCTCTCCAGGAGCCGGCGTTCCACAGGATCGTTGATTTCAAGCTGGAAGGCATCAAGGGGAGCCTCTCTCCATTGGAGGGGAGCCCGGCTGGGGCGGAAGGGGCTGAAAAGAGCCCCGTGTAACGAGGGATTAGGCAGCAGTCGGGCCTTGAATCCCTAGTGGAGAGATGCCGCTTGTGCTGCTCAGCAGGAGAGTACCTCCAGGGGTTCTGAGCTGGGGAATATTAGAGATAAGCAGGCCAGCCAAGAAACTATTGAGTTCTGGTTCTAGATTTCTCTTTCAGTATGAGGTCACATAACGTCTTTGCCTCAGTTCCTCCATCTGTTAAAGAATCCTGGCTTCCAAATCATAAATAAGCAGGGTTTCAGCTCTTGTAACCTTGCCACTTAGCAGAATGAGTGGGAGCTCAATGTGACAAGCATAGAAAATAGCAACAAAATCATAAAAGTTTAACCACTGTTTTCTTTAGCTTCTACTACGACACTGATCTCCACCTAGGAAAAAAATCACTCACCACAAAGTTTAACAACTCCATTTGGAACAGAGCGTCCCAGGAAGCTGCTAGAATCAAGCTCAGTATGAGCCCCTGTCAGAACCTGATTTGGAGGCAGGGCTGTGAGAGATCAGCCGGCTTCTTGCCAGGATAGAATCCAAATCCCGTGTACTCAGAAGAAGCCTTTGAAGTCCCTTTTTGCCCAGAATGCACAGAATTACTCAATATAAATTTTATAAGCCTGGTATGAAATGTATCACTCATCTAGTTCATAAACCTAAGGGTCTGACTTTTTTCTCCTCTAAATAAAATTTCCCACTTCAAAAAATGTATCAGGGTATTGAAAAAGTCTTGGTGCAATTTGAAGCTGTAATGGTTACACTATCATCCGAGTCCTTAGAGTGGAGAGAAGTGACTTTTGTGTAGTCAGTCAATTTACAGTCTCATATGATGAATGTAACTAATTCATGCCTTCTTTAGTGTAGGTGATGAGTTGTTTTCAAAGGTATTGTTACAACCATTTTATTTGGTTTTCAGTTAATGAACTTTTTTCCCTCCTTCCCACCTCCCCTTCATCTTAATTTTTAAAAAAATCAAAGAAAAAAGCCTCATAGCAAATACATCTACTCTAGCAAAGAAGATTCCTATGCCATGCTTAAAAAAAAATACATCTCAATCTGCACTCAGCATCCATCACCTGTCTGTCAGGAGTGGGGTAGCACATTTCATCTTTGATCCTTTATCATCGTGGTTGGTCAGAGTTTTTGAATCTTTGCAGAGCTTTTTTTTTTAAATAATATTGTTATTCTGCAAATTGTTCTGGTTCTGCTGGACTCTCCATCAGTTTAAGTCTTCCCTGATTTCTCTGGAAACATCCATTTTGTCATTTCTTATTTACCTGACATCTAATATTACATTATGTTCACATGCCATAATTCCTTTAGCCATTCTGCAGTATGTGAACACCCTCTTAGTTTCCCATTTTTGCCACCACAAAAAGAGCAGCTTTAAATATTTTTGTGCATATGGCTTCTTTTCCTCTTTACTTGATCTTTTTAGGATGTCGGTCTGTCGTGGTGTTGCTGGGTCAGAGGATGTGCAGAGTTTCATGTCTGGGCTCCAAACTGGCCGGACCAGCTGACAGATCTGCCAGCAGTGTGTCACTGTCCCTGCTTCCCTCAGCCAGAGGCACTGGGATTTTCACGGCTGGTTTTCACTTATTTTGCTCCTACAGTATGCTGTTGCTCATTTTGGTTTTTCAAGGCAGAGCTTGTCTTCTTCCTCCCAAGTCCATCGCTGTATCCACCACGCTGCCTCTTCTTCAAGTTTCACCAGCAGCATGTGTTGACTGATCACTATAAGTATGTAATGCAGATCCACTATGTGACCTCAAGGCACTTAGTATAATAGTGCAAGAGAGCTTAGCAGACACACCAGGTGGATGGTAAAGACCGCATCTGATATTGCAGACTATATCTTAAGGTTGCTGCCTATGTTATTCTGCTTCTGGTGTGAAGCTTGCTACTTCTCGGTTGATTGATTCCTGTAGCTTTTGGATATCAAAATTAATAAGACAACCTGCCTTTAAATCCTAAAAGCATTTGTTGAGGACTTCAAAGAACTTCACATGCTCATGTGTAAGTGCATGCACACAGCTTTGATCTAGCAAATCCAATTATTTTAATCATTATTATTATTATTACTATTATTATTATTCAGTGATCAAAACTCGGAGATCCCTATATCAGATCAGAACCTCCTATCACTCCATCTCTCCCTTTTCCTTACCTTCCCTAATTCTTTTGTTCTCCCTGGGACCACTACTTCTTCTGTCCCTCAGCATTCTTCCAGACTAAAGCAGACCCATGCTTTAACCTCAATTCCCTCCCTTCCCATTCTTGATCTTCTAGTTAACAAACATTCGGCTCTGTGCCATCATCTGTTCTGGAGCCCTTGCTCCCCACCCTGTTAATGCTCAGACCTTGTCAAATCCTATCCTAGACCATTCACACTCTATGCCCCCTAAACAGAGCTGGAGGAAATCACAAAACTGAACTGAATTCACCACCGATTTATCTTTTCTGATCAGCAGAGCACTTTCCCCTGATTATCTACCCCAGGCTATTCTAAACCTTCTTTTCTTCCCAAGCTTCCCACACCATCCTACCCCCATCCCTCCCTGTTGAGGGCCTCACTGTCTGTTTTGCTGAGAAAAGAGTGACCGTTCACCATAAGCTGCTGCTTCTCCCCTTCTCTGCTTCTTCAAATTTCTTGAATCATCTTTACCCCAGTTCTGATGAGACCCTTCTCACCAAGACCAGTTCTTCCACAGGTGCCCTTGATCCCATTTCCTCCTCTCTCTTCCAAAAGATTGCCCCTTCCCCAGCAATTATCTTCTCGTCTCCGAGTTTGAGTATCTCCTTAACTACTGGTTCCTTCTCCACCCACAGACTTGCCCAAAGCTCCCCCTTCTTGGACGAACAAGAACAACAGACTGCTCTTCTCTCAAGCTGTCAGACTCCATCTCCTTTTGAAATCAGGTTCTAGAAAAAGCTGTGAATACCCCTTGCTGGCACGTGCTCTCCCTTCTGTCCAGTTTGTAGTCTCCCTGCCGTGGGCCTTATTATCATCTCTGTACAGACAACTCCCAAACCTCTAAAACCAGCCTTAGCCTGTCTCCTCAGCAGCAGTCACACATCATCAACTGCCTGGTGGATATTTCCAACAGGATGCCCCATAGGTACTCAACAGACCTCCTGGCTCTTCCTCACAAGTTGCTACCCCATCTCTCTGACTGGCTCCCATGGAATGCTCTCCTCCTCCTCTCCACCCCATCTGGGCTTCCTACAAGTTTCCTTCAAAGTCCCATCTTCTGCAAGAAGCCTTTCCCAATCCCCCTTCACGCTTATTCCTTTCCTCTGGATTTTCTCCATTGTGTGCAGTATCTAACTTGTTTGTATAGAATTACTTACATGTTGTCTTCCCCATTAGTCCATGAGCTCCTTGAGGGTAGGGGGCTTTCTTTTGCCTTTCTTTGTATCCCTAGCACAGTGCCTGGCACATAATTGATCCTTAATAAATGTTTAGTGACTGATATGTCCAAAATTAAACTGATTATGTTTCCCCCTTCCAGGTTGCCCTATTTCTGACAAGGGCACCGTCATTTTGTCAGTCACCCAGGTTTGAAACTTCAGCATTAACTTTGATCCCTCACTCTCCTTCACCCCACATAGCCAATCAGTCTCTAGATCTCTCCTCCTGCCTCAAGTCTTTCCCCTCCCCAATCATTCTTC